TACAACGCTCCGCACTGTTCCTGCTCATCTTCCTGCCCATTTATCCATTCTCTCCCTGGCAGAAAATGAGATAAGGGATCTTAATGAAGTAATTATTTACCATTTCATTCTGTCATGACTAGGACCCTAACTGAAATATGACTTGCTACAATAACACATTTAGCTGAATGATAAATTGTCTCAGACGTTATTGTGATAAGTCATGATATTGTTGTTTTGAGACCATTTTCAAACATAATGATAGTGACATAAAAATGTGAGAAAAACATCCTCAAAGATCAATACACTTGAAATTCTAATGAGTATTTGACAATGGAACTCGTAGACATTAAAAAAAATGTCCCAAATTAAATAAAGTATGAAGTTTCTGTGAAGAAACTTTTTTTTTTTTTTTTTTTTTTTTTAAGGAGCTAGTTGAGACCAATGAACCACACAGAAAACTTCTGTCATCCAGTTTTTGATTAGAAATGGGGAGAAAAATGATAAAATATGTAAATATAAATTATGAGCTTATTTTAAATTATTATATGATTAATTGATTTATCATTTATTGCAACTGGCCTAACTGAAACACACAAATATCGTTTATCAGTGACAGTATTGAGTGTTGTTGTTCAGGTGTCATACCTGGCCCCTCTTCATGAACTGGAGCAGCTGTCCATCATGTGCAACCCCTGCGTCATGGCGACTCCCTCGTTGCCGGGTTTCGATTATCGACCGTACATCATGAGTTGGTGCCTAAACCTGAAGGTCCTGGATGGCTACATCGTGACGCAAAAAGAAGGGTGAGCCCGTTTGCCACACTGCTACAGTTTACTTGTGACGCTTTGTCAAAACATTTGAATCTAGTTTGTTTTTTCTTTATCTGCTGATGACAACAGTCTCAAAGCAGAGTGGCTCTACAGTCAGGGGAAAGGTCGCTCATATCGACCTGGGCAGCATGTTCAGCTGGTTCAGTACCTGGCCACTGTTTGCCCTCTGACAGCATCACCTGCCCTGGAGACGGCAGAAGATGCCAAACTGGAGAAGATCCTCAGTAAACAGAGGTATTATGTTGTGTTGCCTAACGCAAGCATGAAATGGTTATTCCCACCCGCTTTTATAACGTATAATTACCTCGAATTCACTCATTTTGTGTCAGATTCCACCAACGGCAGCTGTTGGAGGAGACACGCGGAGACTGTCCCAGTCCTCCTCGTCCAACTCAGCTAGACATTGAAAGCCACAGCCCTTCACATGCAGCTTCACAGAGCGGAGACGAAGTGATGAAAAACATCCCCACACCTGCTCTAGCTGCTGCTCCGTCTGTCCAGGAGAAAGGTGAGAAGACTGCTTTATCAATTGTTCATGAATCTAAAATCAAGGCCTTAAAATATCTTAAATTCATTATAGAACATGTATGTTGGCCTTAATCAAAGGTCTTAAATTTTGTTGTGGTGGGACTATTTAATCTGTAGATGTTCTATGAGGCAAAAGTTGGAGTTTTGCCTTTTACTTAGGTTGGTTAAAGCTTCCAGTAACAAGCTGCTAATAGTTGCTAGCAAGCAAACAAGTCATTAGCAGTTAGCACATGGCTCATTAGCAGCTGGCTTATGTTACGTGAGAAGCACAAACCTGCTGCTAAGAGCAAACCCCAAAAATGTTTCAGTTTTTGTCCCCTGCATTTCTTTTGTACGTCTTAAAAAGTCTTAAATTTGAGTTGGTGGAACCTTCAGAAACCTTTATTTTCCCCTTCTGCTTTCCTACAGAGCCAGTCGTGCAGTTTAACACGTGGGTAAGTTGTGATGCATCTCATGCGTCGCTGCCAGTCGTTCGCAGCCCAAGGATTACAGGGGAGCAAATTTTTTTGGAAGATGTGCAAGCTGACGAGGACAAGATCAACAGCAGCTTGCTTTCCTCTGAGTCCACTTTCCTCCCCTTCACGTCTGACCTGGACCCACAAACGGCCCACACCGACAGCGAAGATGAGACGGAGACATTTGAGCCCGATTCTCTGGCTCCAAAGCGACCGTCGCAATCCAGAAATCCCAACCCTAACAAGATCAATGAGTCGTCTCCGACGGAGAAGAACCAGAGGAAAACAGGTGGAGGGAATATCACGTCTGTTGCCACGACAACAGCTGCATCCAAGGCAAGAGTTGCCATACCCAAAGATCCCACAGAGATGCCCTTTGACTTTGGGAAAGCAGAAAGTAAAGATGCTGGAAAGCCGGCACAAGTGAGCACGTCTGGCGATAAATTAAATCTGCTGCAGGCGAACGAGGCGGCGGTTAGAATCCAGTCCTGGTGGCGAGGACACTACGTTCGATGTTTTCATCCCGCAGCCAAAGAGGTGCGCAGCGAAATCCGTCTGCGCCGAATGCAAGAACACATCCTCTTCCTGTCTGATAAGCTGGAAACGTAAGTTTCTTATCAACAGTGCTTATATAACAGCGTTAACAGATTTCAGTAAGAGGAAGAAAAAAAAATCTGATACGTTTTACTTTTGGTTGTGTTTTAGCACATGTCAGAAACAAGACGTAAAGGTTGAATCTGTTGTGTCGGCAGGATGGAGAAGCAGTATGAGGAGGAGAGGCTCCAAAGGCTGGTTCAGGAGGAGGCAGTGAAGTTTCTATGGAAAGAGGTTAATAATTATTGTATTTATGATTTATAAAAACCAATTTTGCGCATTGGCATGTAAATGGTCGACTCAAACCAAAAAACTTCTTCCTTTATATTTGTTATCTGTGCAAAATGGACAAAGTGTTCTGCTGAAACACTAGCAGAATACAGATCGATTTGACCAAGTTCATTCTTTGCTGTTTCTGACTCATTTTCTCGTCTGTCATTTTAGTTTGATGCCCATGTTACTGTAAGAACATCGTTCAGTTAACTGTTAAAAGTTTGGTACATTATTTATAACCTATCTCTGCATAGCACATCATGCTACGTTGGTTGTGTTTCTTGATCTTTCTGATCTGAGGCCTTCAAAAAATGTTTCCTTTCTGTCATTTTCTTCACTTCACCGTCTTGCACTAGTCTGTGTTGATAACATTAATCCCAATGAAATCCACTGAAGTTTGTAATGTGACAAACTTTGAAAAATGTTTTTGTAGTTACTTTTTCACAGGAACAGCTGTATCCTTTTGGGAACCATTTTCATGGGTACTAAAGTTCTTGAAGTTGTGTTTGCGATCAGTAGTGTGATGTTTTTTCAGAGACGCAGCCTGATATTTTTCCACTTGTTCCGTGTTCTTCACGTAGCTTCAGTCCATGCAGCAGTGGAAACAGTCGGTGGAGAACAAGCTTGCAGCCGTTGCACAGCCAGCTCCTCCAGCTCCGATCTATTCTCCCGGGCTTTGCCACGCAGTCCCTCCTGCCGCCTCAAGCGCCACCAACCCTCCCATCGCAGACGTCTCCTTCCCAGACTCTGGATTCCAGACGACCAACGAGCAGCAGGCGGCGCAGGAGGACAGCTTTCTGAGCAGCGGCACAGCCGACTCTCTGAAGACGGTTCGAGCGCTGAGCTCGGTTCGGAGCGGCTTCGCCGGCGTGGGCGACGGTGCGGACAGCGCAGACTGCAGCCTGTTGGACGAATACCTGTCCTCTGTACAGCAGAGGGAGGAGGAGGCCGAAGAGGCGAACAGCGATAAAACAGAAACGCCACAGACCTCCCCAAGCAGGACAGCTTCCACCAACAACACCCCCATGCAGAAGGCAGAACAAAGCAGTCCAGAGCTGGCCTGAGATCCTTACCCAGAATGTGTGTTAGTAATTATTCTGCGTGGGACTAAGACATTTAGTTCCTTAATAAGACCTTGATTAGGTCTATAAACTGCATACTTCTTGATTACAAATGAAGCTCAATTTTAACTCTCAGAAGAAGCTTGAAACTCCACCTTGCACTGAATGTAACTTAAGCTGTTTTGTACCATCTGTTGTGTTTACTACTGGACATTTAGTGCCATGAAAAGATGTTGGTTGAATGTAGCAACAGAATTTATAGCAGTTAACGTGTACAAAGTTCATCAGTAACTACTGCAAACATGATTAGAGGCTGACAGTTTTTTTTTTTGACAGTTACACAATGTATATGTTGTATTTTTTATTTATTTATTTTATTATTATTTTTTTTTTGTATTTTTGATCTGTTTACCAATGTAGATTTTGTCAGGTTTTGGTCTGATAAGTTTTAGCTGTTGTGCTATCTTCAAAAATGTAAATAAACACGTAGATATGCATTACTGGCACACAAGATCAGCAGACTTCTGCCCGACTTGAATGACTCTCGCGTCGTTCTCATTTTGAAGACAAAAGTTTCCTTATGCTCGGCCCCTTTGCTCGGAAACCAATTAATTTGTATTCGCCTCCAAACCGGACTTGCACTTCCACAGTCAGTTCACAAGCCTTCAGACCACAAACAATCTTGGAACAGTTCTGCCTGGTTCATTTGTTGATTTTTAGCTCAAGACGTGAATTCTCGTGATTGTTTTGCAACTTTGTACCTACAGACAGTCATTATCTCCCTATTCTTAAAACGCGGCATCTTTGGAGCTTCATTTAAATAAAAACTGCAGTGGAGTACAGAAGTAGCTCCTAAAGGTAAGGATGGAATCCTATTTGGGGTCATGAATATGTCATTCTGGGGTCTTAAGGTCAGAAATTAATTTAAATATCAAAGTGAGAATGCATATGCATTTTAGAAATTTTGTCAAATGATAAAAACATGAATTAAAAATGGAAAATAATATATTCATGAATATACTTGCTGTAGTGTTTGTTATGTTAACATTGCACTGCTCAATGCTAGTATACTCAGCCAAGAATTTGAGTCACGACCCTCTTCCATTTTTATTTTGTGGGTCAGAAGCTGGAAAGTTTGGCAACCTCTGAAGGTCTGGCTTCGCTGTGGACCCTCCTATGGTGATGAGCACACGTAGCTTTTATACTAAAAAAAAAAAAAATTAAAAACTGCATTCTAAATGAGCAAATAAACATGTCAAACCCTGACCACCAAGGGGCGCAGTTAAGCCCAGCAGCCATCTTCGGCACAGTTAACGGTGATTCTGCCTCATGTTCGGATTTGTTTCTCTCTCTGGTCTCCTGGCCTTAATTCTTTATTTCCCCGTCGGTTCGATGTCGTTCTAACATGTAAGTAAGATATCATTACACGGCTGAACGCCCTCCGCATAAAATAACGATTTCGGTTCTAGGGTGCATCTTTCTTGTCTTGCCTATTATAAATCTTCATATATAGGCTTGTTTTTATTTATTAAATGTTATTTGCCCGGGTTTTCCGTATGTGAAGCTCTCGGTCTGCCCCGACATTGCACAGTCATCTTTCTTCCGCTAAGATCATTTAAAAACAAAACTGTCGCTCAGTCTACACCATTGAGCTGGTTGTTTGTTTTTTTTGTTTTTTTTTGTCTTTTTTTTTTGTTATTTTGTTTTGCTCATTGCTTTGCTGATGTCTGCAAAGATTTTTTTGGGGGGTGAAATACATAAATGCTACGTTTTTAAGAACTGTATTCAAATCATATCGCCCTGCTGTACGTCAGAACAGCAGGGCGATATGTTAGCAGCTGTTAGCAGCTGGAGTTCAGCTTGGTCCTTTGTTATGGCTTTATCCAGGACTGGACCTAAGATGATGCGGCATTAAAAAAAAACAACAAAAAAAAAAAAACAAGACAATTCTTGTACCCCTTCTCACAAAACTTTCTATCCTGGATGTAAATTACACTATGTGTTTCATCTTTAAGAATTGTAGATAAAAACGAATTCAAAAAAGAATTACTTGGCTATCTGGAAAATAGAATTGCCTAACTTTGACTATAATGGGATGTTTTGATGAGTAGCTATTTTCTTAGCCACTTCCAAATTTACAAAGATAAATGCCATTAAAAAATTTTTACATGGGAGAAATGTTGTTCTTTGTTACCTGTATGTCAGGAAGAAAAGGATTCATGCGTTGAAAGTTCACAGACAATCTGATCAACTTTCAAAAATATTTAAATATTTTCTTCTTGATTTGATCTTTCTCTGTCAGCCTGGTTAAAAGGTTGGATTTTTTTTTCTTATTTTTATTTTAAATGATCGCTGTGAGATTGTGATTACATCATAAATAATTCACTTGTAAATTGAGTGGGAGTAACGTGTCCAGTCCAGAAATAATAATCCTACAAATTAATGTTTCCATAGTCTGGACTGATAATGGCTCTGCTCCATCTGATATTTTCTGCTCTCCCTCTCCGTGTACGTTTCACAGAGCTAATGAGTAAAATCATGCCATCATTGCTGTGGTGACGTGCGGAAGAAGAGCAGGCCCTGGTCATGAGAGACAAAAAGGAGACACCATGTGCCGAAATCCATCCAAGTATGCCTTGCTTTTCCTCTTTCTGTCGTTGTCAGGATTCATCTTCCTGCTGCGCAACATCCACACTCTGGAGGTAAGACAGGAAGGGGGCCACATGTGGGTTTTGTAACTAAAACCCACATCCCATTTTAAAGCGGCAGTATGTTTTCTGTATCATACCGAACTGAAAAGACCTAGTTAATTGCATTTCCATTGACCTTATATTTATGCAGTTTGACTTTAATTGTGTTTCCTATTTAATGGAAACACTGCAATCGTGAATTTGTGGTTTTTTTCGACATTAGAGGAACATTGACAAAGTTTTGGATACATTTGTAATGGGAACTGAAAGTTTCCCTTTTAGTTCAGATTTGACTTTAATTTTCTGTTCCTCCTCTCTAAAAAGCCTCACCTTTTATCCAGACCTTTGAAAAGTCTGAGACACTCTGCAGTGTTGTGAGTTAGTTTGGGGAGTACTTTTTTTGTTTTTAAACTGCCTCGTCTGTGCAGATATACTAATCTACAGAATGAAGATGGGATTTTGTGTAACTGTTAAAATAATTTATTTATTTTTTGTGAAATATATCTTGTACCAAAGGTTTTCAAAAGTATTGCTGTGGGTTTGGGGAGGAACTTGCATTGACTTTAGTGATACCCAGACAAAATGTCAACTGCAATTACCCAATAAATATCCAGCATTGCTAAGTAATTGTCATTTACGGATGAAAAGCAACAGCCTAAAGAATATGTTTTGGTTAGTGTTTCATTAATTACGGTACAAAAGCAACTCCAAACAGGTGAGGTTTTAGTCTGGATTTAAAGGAACTCAGCGTTTCGGCTGTTTTCCAGTTTTCCGGAAGTTTGTTCCAGAGTTGTGGTGCACAGAATCTGAATGCTGATAAATATTTTTCGACTTTGCTCAAATAACAAATTACTAATAAGTTTTGCTGTAATAACAAATTACTCCACCAAAGCTCACTTCTCCTAGCACACAAACAGTTAACTTTTCTGAAAGTCCCAATATCACCGGAGTAACGGCTCAAAGCTGCCAGATTACTCAAACCAACTGTTATGGATTCTGTGTTTTCCTCTATCGCTCTTTTATCCTCTTCAGTCTGTTTACACGCACACACCGCAGCTTACATAACCATGCTAATGCGTGACTGCCGGAGTCATACGTAAACAGACTGAACCTGATTAGACTACCCTTTAGGGAGGGAACAGATTGCAGAGAAAAATGAAAAGCTAAACTTGCTACAATCTTTGCCTTACTTGGTGTGGCCCCAACGCTGGACGGTGAATGTTACTCTGGTCGGAGTTACATTCACCAGTGATGATTTTTTTGGCATTGAAGCCTGTTTTTTATATCTAACCAAATCTCATTATTTCTGGTCAGATCCTGAAACTGGTTGACGAACCTGGGTGGTGCACAGAGACAGAAATGATTGAACTCCAACACAACAAATAACATTTAACCCCTCGGCGATAGATGGCCAACTTTCCCCACATTAGCATGGACTTCCTGCACACTTCTACATTACCATAACTGAGTTACTAATTTATATTTATCGGTTTAACAAACAGATATGAGAACAACGACAAGCTGTAACAACAGCCGGTTACAGCACTGAATTGCCGCTGGCTTGCTGAGTCAGCAGTACTCCTCCAACACATCATGTTGGCATGGCAAAATTAAAGGGGTGTAGCTCTGACTCTTAACTCAGCCTTAATCTGCTGGGTATTTTCCCAGCCCTGAGTCTCACAAGGCTCTCCAAATGTACTCAGTGCTTTAAATACAAGTCAAGTTGTTGCTCATTATCCTCAGCTTGCTTGTCAATAATCATATTTCTCAGATCTGATGGCATGTACTCCGCAGAACAGCTGCTGCCGCCTTTGCTTTATACTCCATGACACAACCCCATCTTACCCATACTAGCTAGGCAATTGTTAGCGGTTACGAGGTTATAATTACCTTCTGAGGTGGACGATCGGTGGGTCAGCTGGAACGGCCCAGCTCACCTCAAGACTTTTCAATTGATCATAATCAGTTCAGATCAAGGAATGAACAAATAATCTGCAATTGGCTAACGAACCCTTGTTGCAGAAAAACTGGTCTTACCTTTTACAATATTATCATTTCTGCAGAGAAATTGCAATTGGCAAAAGTCAATATTGATTTCAGCAAATAATACAAGTCTACAGGGCAGCTGGCTGTGTGTAACACTCAACTGTCTTCTTCTTTTTTAGAGTTGGAACTGCCACGCAATCTCAGCCTTTTACCAGTTTCAGACCAGGATCCACTCATCTCTCATGTCAGTGAACCTCCCAACGTACAATCAGAACCTCACCTTCTGTGCCCATCTGGGCCAGAAACCGTTTCCTGAGGATAAACTTGAAGAGCACTACTTGCTGGATTCAATAGAGTGGCCTGGCCCTCCAGCTCGCTTTGCTCCACCCAGCCTACGCCAGACAAGCGACCCTGTCCACAGTCTCTTCACCATCCTTCCCCATAAGGAAAGAAGAGAGTGGCGCATCGGGGACCAGCTGGAGGCTCTGGTCCAAATGCACGACTATCAGGGTCGCCCTAAGCATTATGGCGGGGACTTTCTCCTTGCCAGGCTGCATTCTCCAGAGCTCGGAGCGGGTGTAGCTGGGACGGTGGTAGACCACAGGAATGGAATTTATTCTGTTCTGTTCCCGCTGCTCTGGGTGGGGTCCGCCCAGGTCGAGATAACGCTTGTGCACTCCAGCGAGGCGGTCGCTGTGCTGAAACACTTGAGGGAGCATCGGCCCGATCGGGTTTTCTTCAAGAGCCTGTTCCGCTTGGGCTTCTTGTCAGAAACGACAGTGTGCAACATGTGCTTACCCTCCGACCAGCATTCTCTGTGCAACTATACAGACCTCTACACGGGCGAACCCTGGTACTGCTACAAACCCAAGATACTCGGCTGTGACACCAGAATCAACCATGCCAAAGGGGGATATTTAAAACACCTCCTGACCAACAAGGAGGCTCTGCTCTTCCAGAGGTCTGTCGTGTTTTATGGGTAAACAAATCATACTGGGTTCCTCCACAGTCTGGGCAATTCTGGGAATCAAGTGTTTTCCATGTCAGGAATATATGTGTAAAGGATGAGAACGAACTCAATCCGTTCATCCATCCATCCATCCATCCATCCATCCATACATCCGCTACCAATCAACCCAATCATTTAGTATGATGTACACTCTATCAATACTGTAATCTGCATTTGTAAACAGCAAGCACTTTAGTAACTTTAGCTCGAGGACTGTTTTCTACAAACTTGTTTACTAAAAGATTAACATTTGTTGTCACTTGACTTTCACTCTAATTTGCTTTAAATAATATTTCGCTGTCATTTTCCCAGTGGTGTAAACATCAAAGTTCAAATACACGCCTCAGGAAAAGACAGAATCAATGTGCTGCCACCTGAAGGTAAAGTTTATACTTCTTTGTCCAGCATTTCAGTGTCTGTGTATTTTGTGGATTAATTTTTTTTTCTCCCTTTGCAGCAGATGATGTTGAGAAGGAAAACAGCTCTGAAAGAACAGAGCCGGTTAAGCCTAAGCCTTCTGGATATTATTTCAAAGACTCATGGAGGCCGTTAGGAGGGACCGTCATGCGTCACTTCAACGAATCGGCGGTAATCACTCAGTGTTTGAGGAACAAGGTGATCAACATGTACGGAGACTCGACCGTTCGACAGTGGTTCGAGTACCTCATTACTTTGGTCCCAGGTGAGTCGTTGTTTGTTTTCACCTTGTTTTATTTATTTACTTTCACACATCCCCTGTTGCTCCTAAAGCAGCTTTCATTTATTCCCAGAGTTGAAGGAGATAAATCTACACAGTCCCAAAAATGTGGGGCCCTTCATGGCCGTGGACACAACCCATAACATTCTGTTAAAGTACCGCTGCCATGGCCCGCCCATCCGCTTTTCCACCGTCCTGTCCAGCGAGCTGCGTTACGTTTTTAATGAACTGGACGGCCTCTCCGGAGGCCCCAACACCGTGGTGGTCCTCAGCATCTGGGCCCACTTCAGCACCTTCCCCGTGGAGGTGTACATCCGGCGCCTCCGGCACATTCGGCGGGCGCTGTTGAGGTTGCTGGGCCGGGCACCGGAGACGCTGGTGGTGATCCGGTCGGCCAACCTCCAAGCCCTGGATGCGGAGGTGAGCCTGTACAACAGCGACTGGTACTCCCTGCAGCTGGACACGGTGCTTAAGGCCATGTTCAGAGGCATGGATGTTCTCATGGTGGACGCCTGGGAAATGAGTTTGGCTCATCACCTCCCTCACGCCCTTCATCCTCCTCAGGCCATCGTGCAGAACATGATAGACATGCTTCTGTCTTACGTCTGCCCAGTGACAAAGTCAAGGACAAAGTAGAAGCTGCGACGTCTGGTGAAGATATCCGTTTGTCGAAGGGAACGGGAATCCGTCTGTCAACTGTATGGATCTGAACAGCTTTTCTTCTGTTCTGCTTCTCAGAGCCACCCTCCCAAATTTTAGCGAATGGTTTTATATTTACTGTGTTTTGCATTATTCCAGAAATGCCAAAGACTCTGGCAGAATCATTTCTTCTCCATTGGTGGCACCAAAGTGAACGTGTGTGTGCATGTCGAGTATACCCGGTGTCTTCACGCCTCTTTACTCACAACATGCTGAGGCAGTGAAAACATCTTTTGGGGCCAATGTAAGAGAGGCTTTCGTCTTCTTTTTGGTTAGCAGACATTTTGTTTTGCCTGAGAATTTTTCTATTTTTGCCTTTTACATAATTAGTCACAAGAGCTCCTTGTGACTAATTATGTCACTAGACAGTGCCTCAAATGGTTTTGTTTTTCCTTTTATATTTGGCTACTCCTCCCAAGTGCTTAGGAACTCTTTTCACCGCTGATAGATGTCAGCAGCAGCTTTGGATAGATGTTTTTCCTCTAGGCATTCACTGAGTTTTTTTTTGACTGATATTATTTTTAGCATTTAGGTGTGACAAACAAAGAGAATCAGAAGAAATCTGCAAGACAAGCAAATACTTTCTCACAGCAATGTAGATGTTTATTCTGTGGTGGCGATCAATTATATCCACCTTTAGACTCCATGTGTTCCTCCTGTTTTTCACAGGGAAATTGTTTGTCTGAAGGAACTGAGCCTTACAAATCATTGCATTTTTCAGTAGGTTGAAAAATATTATAAAACAAGCTTTTGTTTAGTGTAACATGTTTACAAGCATATTAACTCTCACTATGTTTACTTTAATAGCGTTTCACTCCTCAGTATGAGAAAATGTAAAGTGAATCAAATTTTTTTTACAGATTTCTGATCAAAAATTTGCCTCAAGAGGATGTTAGAATGTGTTACAGTTAGTTTCATCATTGAATATTGATTTAAGTGAGAAATAACCATTGCTGGCTCGTGTTGGAATATAATTATCTAGGATATTTTATTTAAAAAAATGTGAAACTCTGTGAGCTATCAGTATTTAAAAAATATAACGAGAATACATGCACTTTTAAATAGAAACTTTTACTTATCTTGTAATTTAGTACATGGAATAACCAAGGCTACTCTATTTTTTGGGGATTTGGGAGATTTTTAATTTTGTGGCATCTCACCTCTTACAGATATCAAAAATACCACGTGTGCCACTAGATACATACAAGCCAAATCTACCTGCAAAGACCCAATAATGTTACTTAATCTCTTGCTAACCTATGCCGACACTTTGTCTGCACCGATGAAGATGCAGACCTCGGCATGCAGAATGCTTGGAGTGGCTGACACATTACGAGAGTCGGACCTAGTTTTAAACTCATTCTGCTAATTATTTAGCCATTTGGGGGACATGAAGACCGTCTAGAGTATTAAACCAAAATCAGCCCAAGATGGTCAAAGAAATGGAAACAAAGCTTACTCTGTTTGCTCTTAAGCAGGCTTATGCTGTAGATTTTGCAATCTTCATCAATAAAAACATTTTCACATTTTGTCAAATGCAACATAATTAACTAAATGAGTTCAATTTTTCCACTCACATTTAATACTCATATTTAACAAGCAGACAGGCTTCCACTTTAATCAAAGATTAAATGATATTTAAGCTTCTAAATCAGTGTTTCTCAACCCTGGTCCTCACCGCCCCCCTGCTCTGCATGTTTTAGATGAGCCTCTATTCCAGAGCAGCTGATTCAAATGACTGCATGACCATCAAATACTGCAGAAGCCTGTTAATCACCCAGAGATACAATTCAGGTGTGTGGCAGAAGGGAAATACCTAAAACATGCAGGACAGGGGGGCGGTGAGGACCAGGGTTGAGAAACACCGTTCTAGAGGCCATTAGCGTTTAGCATGAGTCCTTACTTAGCTAATGGCTTCTTTTATCCCATTGAAGAAGCTAATTAATTGTTTAACGGGATAAATCCTTGATAATTGCTCGTAATGATGAGTTACAATGAGTACTGGACAGCAAGTAGCTTTTTATCTACTTACTTTTAAAACTCTTAGACATGGAGTGCAGGCAGGATCACATTATTTACTGTAAGATGAAACAAGCAGGTGTTTTAGAGTCAGGAAAAGATGTTTACTGACCAACGTTATGGTAGCGACGGCAGCTGGAGTTGGCCCTCAATCACTTGGTCACCAGTTCGATGTCTGATTCTGTCGTTTTGTCCTTGGGCAAGTCACTACACCCACCGGTTAGTGATCGGAAGGGCAGACGGCCCAACATAGCAGCCTCGCTTCTGTCAGGCCGCTGCAGGACAGCAGTGGCTACGATCTAGTAGCTTACCATCAGTATGCATGAATGGAAATGACTGATCTCATTGTTAAGCATCTTTGAGAGACCTGGAAAGCTCTACACAAGTCTGATTTTATTTCTTACTTCCTCTTAGGAAATCAAGTTATTTGAGCATCAACATAATGTTTTATCCTAAGACCTTTAAATAATGTTTCGTGCAAATCTGATTTTTTACATATAAGTTTACCAAGACTGTTACTTTCCCCTTAGAGTTGCTTATCATTTTTGAAATAAAGAATTTTATATTTTACTTTTACTACGTGATTATTTTCTCGTTTTTTGCAAAATGTACCAATATAACCTGCTGCTATTGGTATTCTTCAAAGAGTTAAGGAACTTCAAATGAAAACAAATTGTTTTTGGGACAGATTGTTGGTAATAAACCTGAAAAGATTTAATGCAAGACTGGTTCTTTGGCAAGCAGCAAAAGAAAGAATGGGCAACCCCACCGGAGCAAAACGCAATTATGCAAACAGCTTTTACAAGACAAGCTCGAAACATAACATAAATGTTTTTTTGTTGTTGTTGTATTAATCAACACCTGGTCCCTTGCAGCTTTTGGTGCAGGTTTGTGCAACAAACTACAGAACAAACACTTTTCAATGATATATCAAACTCGTACACACAAAAAAAAATCACCACAGACTTTTATTTAAAAACGTGCATGATACTTTTTCAAAAACTTCAAGCATATCTCTAAGTGCTAAAGCCTGCACAGCATCATTTCTCATAGTAAAACATGTAGAGCTTAAATTGCTTTGGCAGAAAAACAAATCAATACACTTGTACAGAACTGAAGGCAAACACCAGAGTCATACAAAAACATCATGATGGGGACAATTACAGTTAAACAATTAAAGTGTCCTTCGTGAAAAATAACATTCTGACAGCAATGGAAAGCTAAAAGAGAACACACTGAGTAGAAAACAAAAGTAAAAACCAGTACAAAAACAAATGGAGCAGAGTGTGTTACAGAAAGAACGATCAAACGATGGAGCAGCGACCCTCCTGAGGTCACAGTCAGCCACACTGAGACTGACGGGGATTTTCTGACTGAAGTTCAGACACAGCATCACAATGAATCCTCTGTTGTCTTGTGATCAGACACCAAAGCACTGCAAGGTACTGTGACACAATGGTGCACAGTAACTACTGACTGCAGCATCTTAGTTGAAAGAAACAAGTGAAAAGATTGATTGATTGATTGATTGATTGATTATAATAACAGAATATAATCTTCATTTACGAACGGGTCAAATAAATAATATACTACCAAAATAATAAATTCTTGATTCTCAGACGACTCTTTGTTTGGTATCTATGGGTCCAATGCTTACTGAAAAGTATACAAAAAAAAATTCAGCTAAAAACAAAAAAATGAAAAGGGAGTGAAATTGTAGGCAACACCACAGCGGTATGCAGATGTCAGAGAATGAAGATGATTACACGTCCTGGACATTTATGGCCTCCTGCGGCCAGCTGTAAGTATCCAGAGTGAAGGAGTCGTAGTCAGGACTGTAGATCTGCGACAGCACAAACGCCTCCTTGTCCTTGGGCTCGGGGTAAACCGAAGCTATGCTGTTCTTGTATGCGTAGTTGACAACCTGAAACAAGAAGAAAGGGCAGGACGTTGAGATCTGTCATTTTGATTTGATCAACCAGCTAGAGACGTTTTGTGACATCTCCTGGTCTGATCTCCAGCTCCCTCTGCTGGTCCTAGTAATCACTGCAGACGTTTCCTTCACTTTGGTCATCCAAAAATTGTAGTTTATTATTTAAATGATTAGGACGAGGCACTAACAAATAAAGAGAAATAAGTTCTTTTTTTCTTCTTTTTTCTATAATTGAGTGTAATTTACATAATAAATTAGATTTTAGGAATGCTTGTTGGGGGAACTCCCCTCCCCTATCCCTGAATAAAATGACACAAAAAAACTAGTGGTGATTATATTCCACACAAATTGCAGGTCTTCTTACATCTCATTACCCCAATAATTAGTGCTGAAATACTGAAAAGTTTATTTTAGTGTTTTCATTGTAAATTGTAGCTCATAGAAATTCAGCCAAAAATCACTTATTTCCATTTATTTTGACATTTTGTGCTTATAGCTAACAAAAACTAAAGTCAAACCAAATTTAGTTTCAGAGAAAATTACAGTATTCTATCAGAAGGAATAAAAAAATACTTTTTAAATTGGAAATTTTATTTTCTATAACATTTTTTATTAAAACTAATAAGGATCAAGGATATATTGATCCTTATTTAACATCCATTTGTACTTTGTCGCTTTAATGTTAGATCTGCTTTGTCTTTGGGATAGGAAAACATACAGGAGAGAGATAGTTGGGACTGGCTGGAGGAACATATCGTGAAGAGAAAATTTAATTACAAACATTATTTTTAATAACCTGCTAATCTGGATAATAATATAGTCAAACTAATTTGTAAACCTTTCAGGAAGCTGCGTGAGAAAATAGGTAATCTAAATATTGTTTAATATTAAATCTCTCACCTTTACTGCGATCTTGAAGGACACTTCTCTGATGGTGCTTAGAGGTGGATAGAGTCTTCCTTCGGCCAGGTTCTCTTCTGTTACCATGTCGGCTATCGCCTGACAGAGACAAACAGGCACAGCATGGATGATGATCAGATGTGAGGTTTTTACTTGAAGGTTCAATCAGAGGGTCAGAGTTGAAAATGAAAACGGAGAGATTCTGGGTTTGATGAAGCATAAAGAGACGCAGCAGAAGCTGCTTAGCTTCTAGTTAGTACGTCTTTTCTTTCAGCGAGGAACGGACCTCTGCAGTGGTGAGGAAAATGTCTTCAGATATGTGGCGCACTCCACAGGCTATGACTCCCAGGGCGACTCCTGGGAACACATAGGCGTTGTTTCCCTGACCGGGGAAGAATGTGCGTCCGTCTGCCAGGGTCACTTTGTCAAATGGACTCCCGCTGGCAAAGATGCCTCTGCCCTGATCACAGACAGAGTGAGGGGAGAAAACATGACAGCACTTAAAAAAAAAAACAACAAAAACAGTAATAAATATTTGTGCATGGCCCTGAACCACATCAACTGCAATATCTGTGTGGAAATGCATTACCTCTGTGAGTTTGTAGCACTGCTCTGCAGTACACTCAGCCTTGCTGGTGGGATTGCTCAGAGCAAAGATGATGGGCCTGTCGTTGAACGACGCCATGTCTTTGATGATCTTCTCGGTGAACGCTCCTCCGATCGCAGCCACACCTTCAGCACAAACACCGGTCAGTTTTCTGACAACGATAACGATGAATGCAGGAACTCTCCAGTTCTAGGATTCTGCATCTTGGTTGGCAACATCTGTTAAAAATCAAAGCTAACAATTATATTTGATTATTTTGTCAGATGAATTACTTTTGTACTATGTATTTATTCTCAGTTTTAAAGCCGATAAACGTTGAAACTTTGATGAGATGTTAGAAATATTGGACAGTTCAATTTACATGCAGTTTGCGAATTTCAAACCATCGAGTACATGGTCTGGGTTTTCGACGGTTCAGATTAAAGAGAAAGCAGCGAGTAAGCGTTTTGCCGCTACGTTGAGAAGAAACGCTACGTGAAAAAAAGAGTCACCTTTCACAGATTTTCACTGAGTTTCCACAACTGGTTAGGAACAAAACAAATGTGGGTTACACGCTGGTGAAACAATGCGTTTGATTTTACCAGCACTTCCGGTTATCTCACCAATAATGGCGGTGGGTTTGATGGTTTCCACCACCTCCTCCAGAGTCTTCAGGTGTGGGTGTTCGTGAGCAAACTCAGCCTTCTCGTGGTTCAGATTGCCTCTTCCCTGTAGGAACAACACCTTTCATTGTTTGTTTTCAAACCTCATGGCGATTTGCGTAAAGGAGCACGTGGTTAGACATGTTACCTTCACAATAAGACCCTTTGAATCAACCATCCAAATCTTCTTGGCAGCATCTTCTCTAGACACTCCTTCTTTAGCCATGGCCATCATAAGTAGGTGGGCGATGCCCATAGCAGCCTGGTCAGACAAGAACAACAACAACAGTTCATTCTGTAACAAAGTCTCCCTTTAATGCCATTTTTAAAATTGATCATCGTTTAGCTCGACTCGCCTCGCCTGCTCCCTGGAAAACAAAGGTGTGATCCAACAATTTGTCCTTTGTGATCTTCAGAGCAGCAAATATTCCAGCGACGGCTACGGAGGCCG